ACATTTAAATTGAGAAGGTTATCAAAGAGATTCATGGCCAGTGATGGACTAGAAATCCAAGATAAAGGATTCTAGGTCATCATTGGAGAATCCAATGCCCTTCTAAGGTCAGATGGAAAGTGCACCCACCCCCACTCTCAAATAATTAAATTCCACAGAAAATTGAAATTCGATCCGCGACCTTGATTCGGCCTTGTGGAGCCCAAAAAATCACCAGAATTTCAGCTGCTCTTCTGAAAATGAATGCCTATTATCTTTGGCTCTTTTCTGACGTGTGTTCTTCGTCGGTTTAATCTGCCATATACACTGACACACTCTGAAAAAATACGCACATTCATTTTTTTTATTCTCTCTCTCTCATTCTATTATTGACGTACATCTCATTGTGACGTCTTCTGAGAATCTTCTCTGAATTTTTTTAATGTTCAGAATTTCGTTTGCATGCTTAGTTTTTGCATGTGATAGTTCATTCTGAAAAAAAGCGTCAATTCGGAAATTTTTGGAATACTCGAATTATTCAAATTCCTCTCAAGTGTAGAATTTATAGAATTCATAGAATTTACAGAATATTTTTGAAACTAATTTGAATAATCCAAACGGGAATTTCCGAGAGAACGTTCAAAATATGTTCAGGTACAAAACACGATATATTGTTGGGATTAAGATTTCTAGACGAATTACAGAAAATCTTGAATTTTTAGGACATCCGGAAAATCTAGTCCCCAATGTTTTTCTCGCCTTTGGGTACTAGATTGTGTCTTATTTACCCTATATGAATGTCTCCTACAGGTATCATGTCCCTGGTGCAGGGCGCCGTTAAAAGGAAAAGAAGGAGCGAAAAGAAAAAATGTTGATCGAATTTTATGTGTATCTATTGACAGTAGTAGTAGGTGGTACGGTAGTTTATTGTGTGTGAGGTGCCACGTCACTTCTAGACAGATGAACGATCAAAGAGAAGATTGTGGTTTCTGTGTAAACGTTGGAAAGTGATTCGGTCGATGGTCAGCTGTCTGAATAGTCTTCCACGACCCAATCGAAACATTTTAATTTCTAGAATACTGAGTAAGGACTTCCCCAAATGAGTCACTTTTTCCTCCCACATCTTGCACACCGATTAACCAACGACAATGGGACCAGAAACATTTTTTCTTCTTCTTTCAATTCCTTTCCAACTGGCTGAGCTCTTCAGATGACCGAACGTTGTCGTTTTGGGTTTTGTATTTCCGTCAACGTCACGAACTCCTCTGATCTTCGAAATTTCTCACCTCGTTTGAGGCTCATTGAATGAGAGTGTAATCCCTTTTCATTTTTTTGAACACGACGCCAAAAATCAAATCTACTGACATAATATAATCAATCAACATATGCCTAAACACACATTAAGAGGTTCCCCAGCGGTCTCTCTGCTCTTTAAAAGTGTGCAGGTGTCGGTGCCTGCGTCTCTTACCTCTAACCAACGTGGTCCTTTGCGGACGCCTTTCTCTAAATCTCCAAATTCTGCATGCTCTCTGATTTCAAACGTTCCGCGCTCGTCCTTTTCGCAAAACAATCCGTCCATCTCTCTCCGCGTTGAGAGAGACATCTGACGGAGAGGCGAGGAAGACCGCCCGTGTGGAAAGAGAGATTGTAGCGTTTCGTATATCATTTTATTGTTGTTCGGTTTCTCATAATTTCCAATACACCCACCGCACATAATTTCTCTTTCGTTCCAATCTTAATTTTGTTGTTGTTGGTGTGTGTGTGTGTGTCTGACTTTTCCCCACGTTCAACAGACTAGCAATTGAGATGGCTAGTAGACAGATGGACCTTCCTAGAGGGGTCCAAGTAATTAAAGGTCGTCGATTCGCAGATTTTTTATTCGCAATCATCAATTATTCTTCTGTATAGTTTTTTCTCATATTACCCTTGAGTCCGACCTAGTTTATTCAGATTCAGATCCAGGTCGTCAATGTTCTATGTATAATATTATTATGATTCACATTTGGCAAGGTACCAGGTGCAACGGACAAAGAAATGTAATCCCTAATTGTCTTGTTGCTATGATTTGGTAATGAAAATCCCCACATTCTTCGAACCTACTATTTTCGTCCCCTGGTGGTCTGATAACTGATCTAATCACCCTTTTCTCCCAAAAATCACACATCAAGACATTGTTTCTTCGTAGTTTCTACCCATCCGTATATGTTTTTCAAAGAAGAGATTCTTTAACGAAGATGATATTAGTATTAGAAGAAAGTTTCCATAAATGGATATCACAAGGTTAAAAATAGCCAGGTCACAACCCCCATACACCGGTTTAGGAATAGCGGTGCTCCTGCGTTCTCACGTCATCTGAGAATTCAAGGAGAAGAAGAAGTAAATGAATGAGGAAATTCTCATTTCCATTTTTCCAGAAACGGCACGCACTATTTGATGGAGGGTGGTGTGTGTATTGAAGTCGTGAGAGTAGTTAGCGATTCTAGAAAAGAAGCAAGAAAATGAGGAAATGGAATTGGAATTGACTTGAGGTTTTTTCAGGTTTTCTCATTTTACTGTGGAGCTGATGGCCTAGAAAACTTTTAGCCTTTTTTTAGGTCACCACTTCCAAACATAGATCACCTTTGTTTTTCTAGAGAAGTTGTTAAATTTCTCATATTTTGTTTGTGTTTCTGGAAAGCCCCCTCTTTAAGCCTCTCATTTTTTGTACCCCGCATTTTTCAATTTATTCTTCTATTTTTCAGAAAAAAAGGAGTTTCTAGAATTTCGGGTTCTTAATCCTCAAGTTCTCAAGTCCTATAGATCAAAATATTGTATCTATTTCTAGGTACATCTTCTGTCTAGCCTCTCTTCTCTCTTATCACTCTCTCTCTTTTCTTGTAGAAGAAGTTGTAGAAGAAGAAGAAGACGACATTAAGGAAATGAGATTGTTTGATTTTTAATCTCCTTCCTCTCCAGATTCCTCTGTTTTGGAGAGGATGGAATATGAAGTGGTACGATCTTGTACATATCAAAAGCCACAAAAACCAAATGTTCAAACTCTATTTTTTGGGAAAACGCTTTCTTTTTAAAAATTCGCATAAATAGTGAGACGAGAATTCCTGTTTTCATATATTCGCTTTATGTTTTTTTTTCTTCTTCATGTGTTAATATCACACCTGCTTCTTCGTGTTACATAAATCTAATCTTTCTAATCTTTTTTTCGTCAAAAAATGAGAGAATCATGGGATTGCCTCTCTGCTTCCTGTTCTACCGTAATCCGCGGATCTCTGGGAATGGGCTCTCTGTGGGAATAGGAGAGTTTTTGGAATTTGGGGTTACTCTGAAATTTTTTTGCTTCTAACGTCATTTTTCTCCTCAATTTCGGCTTCCTAGAACTAACACTTGTTTTCTAAAAAATCAAAAATTCAATTCTGACTTTTTCCAATTCTATGATTCCAGTTACACTAATTTAGGCCATATCCTTGCCCCTTTGAAAATCGGAACCTGTTTAAATTCTCAAAGACATTATATTAATTTCTGTTCAATATGAGTTTGACTCACATCCACGCACACCTCATCTCCGCTATTTGATATTTCTGTTTGTGCCAAAAAATTTTTGAGTCAAAAAAACATGATCCCATTTCTTCTTGCCATTCTCTTGGTTTAATTAAAGGAACCCTCCAAGCCCATTTTCTTCCGTTTCCCTTCTTCTTCGTTTTTTCTACAACCCCACCCATTAATTCATCCATCCATTGCTCCCAATTTTTTTCCCACTATCCTTTTATTCACATCACCCCCGCGCGGAGCTTCTGCAAAGAAAAGTGAATGCTCTTTTCAATTTTTTTTTGCGCCCACTTGGCAATTTTCCGATTCCTCTTCTTTTTCTTCTTCACGTGAAGAAGCATGGAAGTCAGAAAATTGGAAAATTCTTTAGAGATCTCAAGATTCGGGACAAAGTACAGTAGTCTAGGCTCAGAGGTTGATTCATGCTCTTACACGCATCTGACTATAACATTTTTTGGTTTCTCTTTTTGCAGTTCTGACTAATTGGAATTTAGGTCTTTCATGTTTTTGGCCCACTATGTTACACGTTTGTTGCTCTACATGAGTACAATGATAAGGTACCGTGACGTAGGGGAAGAGAAAGGCGATTCGGTTGCAAAAACAAAAACAATGGAGTACAAGTGCCTGTATAGGGGTTTAGGAGTAGGTTCTAGTCTTGCTAAAGTTGAGAATACTAGAAAATAATGGAACAGGTTTTGAGTATTAGGATTTTTGGATCCTAACGATGGTATTCGAGGTGTTCGTCATTCTAATGATCCTTGAGACAATAGTTCTTAGGTTCCGATATTTCTGAATTATTTGGAATTTTCAGATCTTATTCTGTGATAATCTGAAAACATCCTCTGATCTTGCAGAACAAAAATATTCTGTACCATATAATTTTCCAAGCGGGTTCAAATCCCAATGTGATCGTTCTCATATCGTTCTCTCTTCGCAAAAAAAATAAACCCATGTGAACCCCATGCGTTTATCTCTCTTATTTCATTTTGATTCTTAATTCTATCAATCTGAAACCGTTTCATTTTTTCACACACCTAGGCTCCTCCCATTTTCCTCTTCCCACCTGTGTGTGATATGGCGACAAACAAACCGGAGGTCACATGCGGCGTCCCGGCGCCAGTTGAAGCGCCCGCCCCGTCTCCTTCTCTGTAGAGGAAAAAAATTCCCGCTAACTGTCTAATTCTCTCCGTCGTCTAGAACATCTTTCACTTTTTCTCTAAGCCCCGCCCACTTTTCCCCCCATCCTTCCTCTTGGCTTCGCAATTCGTTCAAAGAGAGGAGCACTCTGTGTTCCACAAGTCCTACTCGACAGTATATAAAGAAGTACCTTAGGTTATCTTATATATCTTATATGTTTTTTGTTGTTTCTCAACTTTTATACTTTTTATAATATCACATACTTTATATAACATCTTATATCTACTTCTTATATTTTTCAGTATACAATTCCCCCTCTTCTCCTCCTTGAAACTCTGAAAATGATGGAAGTTGCCTCCTCATCGTCAGCCTTTGACGCCTCCAATCTTATCAACAATAACAATGAAGTGAAGCCTGCCCGTCCAAAAAGAGACTTCCGATTCAAAGTTATCGAAGTTCAAAACGGACCAAAATGGTTTGTATGGCCAAGCCGTAATCGTGGATCTTCTGAAGACGTTGATGAGAATGACAATAAGAAAGTGTCACAACCACAAAACAATGGATACGGAGCATTGAGACGTAGTGTCATCCGTCAGTCGAAAAGGAAACAAGACCAAGATGGTGAGTAGTGACTTCTTTCATTTTTTTGAGCTTTTCAGAAATCTCGAGCTTATTTCAAAATTGAAATAATCTGATTTCTTGTTCTTAACCTTTAATTTTTTAGCCATCGCCACCCGAACTGCATCCGAACCAGCCTCAGCTCGCCGTCTATCTACTAAAAAAGAAAAAGCCGTCACGGAACCATTAAACCAAGTTTCCTCAATGTTCAAAATCATCTCAATCGAGAAAAACTGGGAAAGTTTCGATGCTACTGATAACGAGGATGACGATGATGAGCTGGAAGACGGAGCTCGTACCGTCTCGGTCATTTCGCTAACCTCTGTCATCGAGGGTGGTGAGCGTAGATGGACCACTTCCATCTGAAAAGATCAAATTATTCATTATTGATCTCTTTGTACATTTTTTCTTTATTTCTTTGCCTCTTTCTCTCTCTTTCGCTTCGGGTTCCTTTGCCACACTTCAAAAACTTTGCCCTTAAAAATCCAGCATTTTCATGCTCCCATCTTTTTTTTTCTGCGTGCTTTATCACTTTTCTCTTTCTCTCTCCCCTTCCAAAAAACAACAAAAAAGTCATGCTTGTCTTGTTACTTGTACAATTTGCCTGTAATATATAGATTATTGTGTCGTCGCATCGAAAAAGAATAAAACGCCTTCTTTGAAAAACCTTTTTTGAATGTTGTGCATCATAACACGGAAAGAAAAAAAAGATTATTCAAATGTATACAGACAGACAGCGACTCCCGGAAAAATTTCATTCAGACAGTTTTGTTATTATTATTACTTTTTGCAGCTATGGAAAAAAAAACACGGAACAAATATTTTTAGGGAAAAGAATAGGGATCAAAGCGTTTTGGGTGTGTATGTGCATATATGTGTTCTGTTATGTTTGCAAAGAAAAATATGCTGGGCAGAAAAACAGATCTTTGGGAAGGTGATGTCTGGGTTGATCAGAAAGAAACCAGGATCTTCAGTATGCTAACCTTGGAATTTCTAGATTTGGTTTGTAGGTCAAGCTGTTTGAGCCAACAGAACTCAACATGACACACTCGACAGTATCAACTCGCAGGACCATTTTATAACTGATCTCGTTTTGAAAATTAGACCACAATTAAGCACAAATTTACTTAAAGAACTGAGACCAGAGTCTTGAACTTTAAGCCTAAAGGTTCGAAGCCCAAGGTTCACAATCCCGCATTGTTTAATGTTTACCACAGATTTCTTCATAGGAATCCTCATTTAAAAATGATGAGCAATCCTTGCAGATTTTTTTAGTTGATCATAAGAACTTTGAAAAATAAACGGATTCCATTCGGCGGAAGTCAAAACCAAATTTTAAGGTCATTTCAGATGATTTTTACAGACGTAACAGTCTGAAACCTCTGATAAAGTTGCACCCTGGAATTTTAGTTAATGCCAGGTTTTTCTTGGTTGCTGTCACCAAACGAATCATAGCAGCAAAAATATTATATTCGTTGAGCATGTTTTGATATCTTTACCAGGAATCCAGAAAAAATGGCCCAAGGTTTCAGGGTGTCACTCTATTAGAGCTTTTATGGTAGCTTCTTCAGCCCTTGCTAAAATTAGGCCACCGCTCCTTTTTGTGCTTTACTCCGAACACACTTTTTCCGCCCTGAAACTCTATACCCCTGTGATTGCTCTGATTTTGACACTTGCAAAAAAAGTGTACCGGAAAAAAATCAATTAATTAAATAATTCCTCCTCCTCTCTTCCCTTTGTCCTCTCAACCCAGAACTACAATACAAAAGTGCAGAGTCAATGTTAGCTTGTCTTCTTTTCTTCAGCAGAAAAAAAGAGAACCATTGAGATCATCGATTCTATCGAACACACAAGGCCTTACATTGTTTTATCACCTTCTTCATTCCATTCGATCGTACACACACACTCCTACTAGGGGGACGACGATAATGACAACGACAACGAAATGATTAATAATCGTTCGTTGGGAAAGCGTGTGAGAGGCCTCATCTTCGTCAGAAAATTGAGAAGATGTTGAGAAAAAAGGAGAAATAAGAAGACGTACTTCTTCTTCTTATTCTCCTTCTGAATTCATTCCTCTCAAAGTGTGGGTGGATTTATGAGATCCGTTTTTTTCCTTCATTTTTCCTTCTCAACTTGGATTTATGTTTATTTGTTATAACAGGCTTTCAGGCATCGGATTCGCAGTTTCCACTGCTACAGACATTTCATTGCTCAGTCAGTTACACGTCACTGTTTTGAATCGCTGGTTCAGGTTATTCTGGTTTGTCGAGCATCACTGAAGATCAGTGGGTATATCTGACTATGAGGAACCAATTTGGCCACGTGACCCATCATTGTCGCCTCAAGCACATTCATTATTTGTTTGTTATTTGTATACAAACATTCCGAGAGAATTGGGAAGAGTAATACAAAGAGCAGAAGATGCGAAGATGACATCATTCAGTCTCGTCTTATTTGAAAAAGAACACTGTTTCTCAGAAGAACAAACTGTTCACATGTTTTTCCACAAAAAGGAGCGTCTACCATCTACGCCACCCCCGCAGCAGGGGAAATTTCATTGGGGAAGAGACAGACAAAAATTGGGAATTTAATTATTTTTGGTTTTTTGACCTTTTTGCTGCTTCTGTGCTCAGTGAGACATTTTTTCCGGAGGCAAGTTTCTCTCCTGTTAGTCACCAGAAAACATTTCCTTAGATAGAAATAGGAGGATGAATCAGTTGGAATTTTGGGGAATGTATGAATAATATCAACAAGTTGAAAAATGAAAATACAGGAGGATGATTGAATATCGAGGAATGAGCATCATCGATAAATACATCCATGTAGAGCTGAATTTGAGATGTGTCTGGAAATTAAAGTTGGGGAAATGAGACTTTCCAAACGAGTTACCGTATTTGCTCTCATTTAAGCCAAAAAATCTGTCAACTGATAAAATATTGCTGATATTAAACTAAATAAATTATCAGTTGACTAAATTTGTATATCTTTTGGAGGAACTGAGATAATTGAGCTCAAAAAGAACGTAGGGCTTGTGTTGGGATTGTTAGACTACGATACAATACAAAAAAAACCATATCATGGAAAATTCGAATTCCGGTCAAAATCCTTATTTAAAAAATTGAGAAAATCGGAAGTATTTACAGTATTGAAAAGAATTGCAAACTGTGAACTTCGATGAAAAAACATTTAAAAAATTCAGAGAAATCCTGTGTGAATTATTAAAAAATCTCGGGAGCTTCATAGAAAACTCAAAGCCTCCAAAATGGTAAATTAGAAGGTTTAGTTTTAATTCTTCAATTATCATAGTTTTCAAACTTTATGAGCAGTTCTCCTTCTTTTTTGCAAAAACCAAACGTATTCGCTTACATTGTCATCAAAATTTTTATGCCCAATTTGACAGGTTCTCTGGTTTTATCTCTGAAAAATTTCAACTTTTTATTGTTTTTTCCTTTCGACGAAAATCTTTTAATTTTCGGGAAAAAAGTGAACTGACCCAAATTTTTTACATGAATAAAAAATGAATGTCGAGAATCAAAAATCGTTTTAAACTTTCAGCTGTCAAAAAATTGTGAACTTTGAAATTGAGAAGCAAGAATGGCCTAGAAAATCTTTCTAGGGCACCAAATACATTTTAATGAGTCACAATCATAAACAATAAAACAAATAGTAAACAGAAGTTTATGAATTTTTTTATGTTTTGTACAAAATATTGTAGAAAATTGCGAAATTTCAATTTAATTGCAGAAATCAAAATCATTGTTATTTTTGCTCTTGTTCTTTTGTCTTTTTTTGCAACATTTCGTCTTTTTTCGTTTTTTCGCCGCGGTCAGTGCAAGTACTGATAGTGCTGTGTGTGTATTTTTTGAGTATTTGAACAAAAAAAAAAGACAAAAAATCTAGGAAAAAATAGTAGTAGACACTTGCTCTGGATAGTTATTTTGTTTGTGGGAGAAGTGAAAACAACCATAACAATCACAATCTGCTGGAAAATATAAAAAATCTCTAAAATCTATTTTTAGAAACATTTCCTCTGCTGACCCGTCAACTACACTTGATCTTTCGAGCCACCTAAATGAAATTGGACAAAATGTTGTTGTCCATTTTCTACCATCATTTCCGGAGGGTTTCCCCTAATTTCAAAAGTTGGTGATAATAGAAATAATCTTTTTTTTTGTCTTTTTTTATCATCTTCCTCTCTTTCAAAAACTTTTTGAGTTCGTTAAAAGTGTGGAGGCGGAAGAGAAATAAATGGAAAATGAGGGGTGGACAACGTGAAAGGACAATGATGGGGTAGAAGTAGAAGAAGAAGACGTGAAGATTCTAGAGGACTTCTGGAGAACGATAATCAAAAAACAAAGGAATCAAAATTCTTGATTTTGCAGGGAAGAGATTAGGGATCGAGTGGTTTTGCATTTTTCGAATTTTCGATTTCTACAAACTTTGAAGTTTGGAGATGATGGCTCACTAGACAATAGCACTTATCTCGTTGCTTGAAAAATGAAAAATCCTAAAAAGAAATTTTTTCAGAGTCTACAAAATCTCAAAAATCCAGGGATGTTCAGAACGAAATTCCGAATACCGAAAATTTCGGAAATTCGATCGGAATTTTTCCGAACCTTATTTTTTCGGAATTAGAGATGTTTGGACTACAGTATGTCAAAGGCGCAGTTGAAAAGTTTTTGTGGGTCCCGAGTGGAAATACTTTGGATTTTTCTTTTGATTTTTCTAATTCTTTTGTCAATTTTTTGCACTTTTGTGATGGGAAAGTGGAATTCCGAATTTCCAAAAATTCAAAAATTTTAAAGTCGGAATATTGGCTATTCCAAACACCCCTGTATGTCGATCCTAACAAATATGGAGTTTTAGAAGATCAAGAAAGCAGAATGTCTGAATCTGAGAATCTGAAAATTTAAAAAAAACTGAAACTCTCAATTTTACAACCCTGACTATATGTCCAGAAAGACACTAAAGTATTTTTTTCCCATCTGTGGTTTATAGTTCAAAAGTCAATCTCCCCATTGTTTTGGTGGACAACCCAGTTTGAGTTTCGGAACTTTGTTTTTAACATTCCTCGGAACTCTAATTAATCAACTTGTCACTTTATCACCTGTCCAATAGTTTCGTGTTTCAAAAAAAGGGTTCAGGTTGCACCAAAAGATAGAATGTTGCAGATGGGATATGTGATTTTTGAGACGTTCTCTTTCTTGTTATATTCGTTCTGGGAGACAAGAAAAAGATTTGAAAATTGGGAACTTTGGAACATTGGGAATGAGGGATCTAGGTATCAAATTGTGACTTTTTTCAGGGGTCTTTAATTTTCAAATATCAACTTTCTGATAAACCATATATCACATCTCACTTACCTACTGACAGTATGAAAACAGTACAAAAACCCTAAAAACGTACTATTCTTATTGAAATTTCATTTTTCTTCAGACAAGTACTATTACAAAAACGAAACACCTCCACTTAATTGTTTACAAATTTCCAATACGCTTTAGAATTCAGCCAAAGCGCATATGATCCCATATTTTCAGATGGTTCTTTGTTCGGATGATGTGGAAGAATATATTCTTCCAACAAGACAGATTATAGATGTGTGTAATTTAGAAAGGGAAAAGGGAAAATACAAATTCTTTAAAAATTCATTGTCAAAATTTTAACGTCGGGACTTATCTATACCGGACATTTACCGGCAGTAATGACAAACAAATACAGTGCGTTCAATAATTATAAATTTTAGGAGTTTTGAAAAAACTAAAACTTAAAACAGTATATTTTGACCGTTTACACAAAAATTGATTCATCTATTCAAGGTTTAGAAAAAAATTATTTTCAGAAATTTTCGCCATTTTTAGGGTATTTGGAATATATCGCGAATAACTTGGCTCCCGGATAGGATTTTGCGCTGAAATTAATAGAAAATATTTCTGCAGTGGTTTGGAGTATCTACTAATTGTCTTGGTGCTATTCCCAGCCATGGTGCTATTCCCCACCATGGTTTTTAATTTAGACA